AGTTAGATCGAAGGAATTTTTCTTTGTGTTGTTCGATCTCTATATCAATAAAAAATACGAATAACTTAATTAACAAAATGGTTGACCGAAACTTTATGGTCCTTGCGTCTGCGTCTATAACAATACCTTAAGTGCGTTTGCGCAATGCATCCCATTCGTATTAGTTCCGAATTCGAGACTATACAAATCTAAAACACTCGGACCCACTTCGGATGTCGCTTGTGCACTAAGTCCGATTCCAATTCGAGAAAATACGATTATGGTTTTCATACCTAGAGATAAAATTACATTTCGGATACCTGTGACATTTCGGACCGTCATTTCTCAGACGTCATTGTTTCGGATGGATGTCGGACGGAGATCGAGAGTAGACCCCCTGATACGACTCGGACGTAGTGCGTAAAAGCTCTAAACGCATGCTAAAGGTGATCTTGTCAATGGCTGCCGTCCGGGGTTGCTTTAAATGTCACATCCCGATATTACGGCTCTATTGGGCAGTGTCTCAATCGTCAATATTTGAACGAAAATGTTCACAATTACTACTAACGAGTAATCTCTTGATGCTGGTTTTCTTTTCACTTGTGCCATTTCGTCAGGTGTCTTGTTGATTTTTATCTTAACCAGAAAGCGCTTAAGCTGGTATCAGAGAACATTTGCTGCGCCCTCGATTAATTATTTTTAATTTATCCTGTAACCCGGAGATTGCCTGGAAGAGATTGCTATCTAGCAAAAAAGCTGTATCTGTCTTTCTTTTATAAATTTGTCCTTGTGTGTAATAATGAGTATTTACAATGTCAGAAACGGTTGTGTGTGTAGTCGTTTGTAACTGATATGATTGTATTGTTATTAATTTGTATTTCCTTTTTTATTGTATTACAAGTGAAGTAAAGCAATTTTGGTTTTGATCTCTACAGTATCTATTTTTATGTAAATAGTTGAATGCTTAAGCACAATCTCATCTGATGTCAAGCGGCAATGTGGGCGACGATGTTAGGCATTTGGCATTTGTACCTGTCTACATGAAAAATCTAGTTCTATATCACATATTTACATTTACATAATTACGAGAAAATATTAGGATCAATCGAATGGTAACTGGAGAGTCCGCCTAATTAACGCCTAAATAAAAGAGCTCGTCGCCAAGCCAAACATCATCAGCGAAACCAAAGCGCCCAGACTTCGCTGGCTCGACCATTTAGAAAGGATGGGGGAGGATCGAAACGTAAAGAGAGCCTATCTGCGTCGAACTACTGGACGAAGACCGGCAGGTCGACCCAGGTATCGTGGATCAGTGAAACATCATCGGCGTAACCAAAGCGCCCAGTCTTCGCTGACTC